TTTTTTTTTTTTTGTAATAGGATGATCACGTAATGAGATGAGCAGGCAAGAAAGAAATCACGCTTCATCTGTGTGGAGGAATGTCTGACAGAGGGTTCGCGGCGGTCGATCGGCGGTACTAGTTGTATCTGGCGTCGAACGAAAGGGGATGGCTCTGTACGGCTACGACGGTAGGCGACCAAAACTGACGAAGAAGATGGCTCGTCCATCAAGCATCAACGGTCAACCAAGCTCCAGTTAAAGGCAGTCTTCAGATGTGATGTGGCGTGGGCCCGTGGCAGAGATCAGCGGCGCGAACTCAAGGGGTTGGGGAACGGCCGAGAGGACCGCGTATGAACAAATTGGAAATTGAATCGGTCCTTTTTTTTACCGTACAATTGTTAACTTCTTTTTCTTTATTAATCAAATAATGATAAAAGATATCATCCTTTATTAAATTACCTAATATTTTGCTTTACTGGGGAGAGATTTCCAAGATTAATATATGGCATTTATGAAAATAAAATCTTGTAGTTGTAATAAATATATATGGAAATTATTCCCCTTGCATATAGGGGAGGATGAAGCTAATATATGTGTATATGTGTAATTTTCCCCAAAATCTTATTATCATATTTACAACTACTGATGAACTTGTTTGTATTTGCACCAAAACTAAAATAAATGTTTGATATAGAATATTATACCCACAAGGCTAAACCGGTCTGCTGAACCAGTCGAAGAGGCCATGCCGTGAAGAAACCAAGCCGACTGACAGGAAAATCGACCAGTCAACCAATCGACCAGCTAAGCAATCGACCAATCTATCCTTCGACCAGATGAACGGTCGAGCAGTTAAGTCTACCTCGATTGGTCGACCACTTCGCGGACGTAACACTTCATAGATCGGCCTAGTTACAGGCACGTAAAAGAGCCTCTAACGGAATTTCAGAAGATTATTTATCCCATGTGCAGGAGGACACCTGTCGAGAAATTATTGGTTGATAGCGACAACCACCTCTAACAGCTCCCAACGTCCCGCACCACCTCTGACATGCGCGCTGTGTGTCACAGTACGGACGGGCAGCTTGGGCAGCCAGCTCATCAAATCCAGGCAGGCCTAAGGCAGGTACTTCACTCCTATATAAAGGGGGTGAGCCTTTCTTCCTTAACACGATTTGTCCATTACTCAACTCCAGTATACTCATACATATACTGACTTAAGCATCGGAGGCTCTTCACTGGACACAACCCCCGGTGTGAGAGTTATTTGCAGGTTTCTGGTGTTCTACCGGCGAGGAAAATAATCGATCTACCCCAAACCGGACAAGGACGCTTACACTTGCATTATTAGCGCCGTCTGTGGGACTTTCGTTTGAGAAGTTGTGTTTGAAGCTCAGCTATGGTGGACGGAATTCCCAAAAACTTGCAGTCGACGTTCGACGACGGTTGGACGACGACCAGGACGATTGGGCAATGCCCTCCTCCGTGTTTTTTCTGGCCCTTCGCAGACGCCGATCACTCCTAAACCCGTCCTTCATGGTGTGGGAGCGTCGATGGCGATCCCCGGAGGAGATGCCAGCTCTAGTCGTGTCCAGGAGGCTCGCGCAGCAGCTGCGGCGGTGCTGCCCTAAAACCCAGTAGTGGCGCAACCAGGAGGGGCGGTGGCGCAATGAGGAGTGGCGGCACAAGGAGGAGTGCTACAGCAGGCATCTGTACAAGCTCCCGGTCAACAGATGGTGCCGATGACCAGGGAGGAGATGCAGAGGATAGCGGCGGCCGCGGCGCAGACGGTGTAGCAAGTCACAAGCCACACATATCAAGACACAACCGCGCCGACCACGGTGGTAGGAAGCCAGGACGAGGATGTGTCCAGTTATGGAGACGGAGGAGGTGAAAGATATCGTGCGATGGAGAGGATGGCGGAGCAGTTGCGCCAGTTACAGGACAAGGTTGAGGGGAGGCCGGAGAGGAGAACTCGAGGACATCCTTTCTCGAGGGACATTCTCGCGGCTCCTTTGCCGAATAATTTCAAGGAGACTAATTTGGTGTGTGACGGGTCATCTGACCCATCGAGGCATGTGAGGATCTTTGAAAATATGGCTGTGTTATATGGATACTCTGATTTTGTATGTTGCAGGGCATTCCTATCGACCTTGCACGGAGGAGCACTTGATTGGTTTCATCGGTTACCCCCTGGATCGATTGCGGACTTTGAGGATTTCGCCAGCAAACTTACCAATCAATATTCGAGCGCGGTAGCACAGGAGAAGACATATCTGACCCTGATGGCGATGAGGCAGGGAGAGAAGGAATCGTTGAGGAAATATGTTGCTCGATATAATCAGACGTGCTTGGAGGTGCACTCAGTGTCGGATAAGGTGAAAGCAATTGGATTGATAAGGAGTCTTCGAGCGGGGCCTTGTCGAACCTCCCTGGCAAAGACCCCTGCTCGATCATATGAGGATGATTTGAAGCGATTTAGGAAGTATATTAATCTGGAGGAGATGGAGGTGGAGTTTGCGAAATTGGAGGAGGCAGCTCGACCAGAGCCAAAGAAGGAGAAGATCCCACAAAGGGGGAGGTCGCCGAGAAGGAGTTCGCCCAAAAGGAGTAGGCCGAAAAGAACATCACCCAGGAGAGAAGGTCGAGATTCGAAATGGGAGAAAAGGGATGATAGGTAGCAGGGGAGGCCTTTGTCGTTTGAGAGACAGAGGTACCATAATTTTACACCTTTGAGAAAAGATTTGACAGAAGTGCTCGAGGCGATGGAGCAAAAGATGTCGAGCGGGGATGTGACATGGCCGAAGATGAGGTTTACAGGCCCGATTCGACCCAGATCACATATCTACTGCCGTTTTCATCGAGATTACGGCCATACCACCGAGAATTGTAGGCATTTGAAGGATGAGATCGAGAGGTTGATTCGAGCGGGGCATTTGAAAGAGTTTGTATATCATGATGGGGCGAAGGGGAAACGAAGGAGGAGATGCCGGGAGGATTTGGAGGAAAGGAGTGATAGAGATGAGGAGGGAGATGATAGAGAAGGTCGAGGAAAGAAGACAAGGAGAGATGGAGATAAGGGAGGACACGGAGGCGAAGCCCCCATGAAGAGAGGGATGATTTATATGATTTCAGGTGGGCCGACGGATGGCGACTCGAATAACGCCAGGAAGGAGCATGCTCGAGCTGTGAAGAGGAAGAGAGAGGAGGTGGGGATTACGGCTCGCATGCCGGTGATAAGTTTTAAAGCGGAGGATGCTGAGGGAGTGGTCTTACCACACAATGACTCTTTGGTGATTACCGCGGAGGTGGCGGGTTTTGATGTGAAGAGGGTGTTTATTGATACCGGGAGTTCGGTAGACGTGATGTTTTATGACTGTTTTGTGCAGATTAACAAGGAGCTGAGTATGGAGCTAAAGCTGGTGGCCACGGCCCTGTACAGATTCAACGGAGGCGAAGTAATGCCGATGGGCGAGATTAGTCTTCCAGTTGCATTAGGATCGAGAGTGACGAGGAAGGTGCGGATGGTGAGATTCGTGGTGGTGGGAGTTGAGTCATCTTAC